TGGATGGACCTGCACGAAACCTTCATCACTATAATCAAATCTCGTGTGCTGTTGTCGGACTGTCAGTTTCCTGGGAACGGATCTGCTTGACCCTCATTCGTCGAATTCGACGGGAGAGTCGAATTTATATATATATATATATATATATAAATGATAAATATGGTAATCCATGAGGATTATATTTATCTTACTTATTATAAAACGCAGATTGTGTGTGTGTGTGTGTGTGTGTGTGTGTGTGTGTGTGTGTGTGTGTGTGTGTGTGTGTGTGTGTGTGCGTTTATATATTGGATCGGATTTCCTACATTTTTCAACCGATTTCAACAAAACTTCACAGGACTACGTAAAATTGCCTTGCGGTGGTTCTAACAGCGCCAAAAATTGGACAAAACACAATTGTTTTTGCACAAAATCAATTTGAAAACACGATTAATCGCGAGAATGAAAGGGGGATTCTAATATCGATATTATAAAACCCAGGTTGTTTGTGTGTGTGTGTGTGTGTGTGTTCGTTTATATATGGGATCGGATTTCCTACATTTTTCAACCAATTTCAACAAACCTTCACTTTTTTTGGGAGGTAGTGTTTCTTATTGTCTTCCACACTTTTTTTTTTGTTTTTACATTCAGAATACTTTAAAATTTCCATTTACAAGACAATTGTTTATAATAAAATTCTATTCAATTGGTAGACTCATAACGATAGAAAACAATGATTTTGTTTGAGTTTGGGTTTAACCAATTCGTAAAAAACAAAAAAAAAAACAAAAAAAAAATAATTAAGACATGCGTGTCCGTCAACCTTAAACAATAATCTTTGTCAATTTTATTTTTCAGTCTTTATGATGGTTGATACTTGATCTATCTCTTACTGTTACATCCCCGGGCAAAGCCGGGCTCTACTGCTAGTCATTACTATATATATATATATATATATATATATATATATATATATGTCACGATCTAGAATACTAGATATAGACATTTTCGATTCGAAAAATAATTAATTGACACTGTCAAAATTTTGTTCAATGCTAAATAAAAGGAATAATTATGTTGTCCTTTGATTCAAAAAAGAAACGAATTTTGAATTATATTCAACAGAATCACGTTTGGCCTGAAGCGTTTTTTTTTTTTGTTTTGTTTTTTTTTCTTTTTTTCTTTTTTCTTGACCGCTAAAGCTTAATAACTTTTACCTTTTCAAATTTCTATACAGCCACGTCTTTTGTCGATATCGTCCTCCCTTACAATGTCGCCGATAGAACGATCTGAAGATGACATCCGGACAAATTTCTTTTTGAGATTTACAATTAACAGCGAATCACCAAACAAAATGCAGAAATCAGTGACAACGCAATGACGTTCCCAAAATATGTTTTACGAGTCTCAAATCTTTGAGTTTGGTTTTTTGATTAATGAATTTTCAAAGGCAAACACAGTTACCATGCCAGACGAGTTTGTAAAAGACAATGTTATTATATGATTAATTAATGTTGAACTTATGAAATAGTTTAATGTTTTTAGATGCTAAACATTTTGCGGGATGGATAATTATACTGTTACACGATTTGGACAATTTTTCTATTACGCCTGGTGTATATATATATATATATATATATATATATATATATATATATATATATATATATATGTATAGGGGACTCTCCCGTGCTATTCGACGTATGAGGGTCAAGCAGCTCAGCTCCTAGGAACCGACAGCCAGACACCAACACATATAATTTGATTCTAGTGGCGAAGGCTTTTGGTAGAACTGCCCACACTAGTTGAAGGGCCGAATACAGAGACCTGGTGCACTAAGTGCCACAAGGTCCCCAAACGACCCTCCGCAGGTTTTGAATTCAGAGTTGTCCTTCTCCTAGACCAGTTGCCATACAAGGCTATAGAACACTTAGATGGAGGGTATTATCACGTTATGTTCCCAGTAGAACATAAATTTGTTCTCAAACGCTTGGATCCGTCTGTTTCTGTAAAAAGTCTCCACGTTTCACATCCATATAGGAGAATGGAGACTAACAGCGATTTGTACAGTCTGTACTTCACTTGAAAGCTGATTTTGCTTGACAATTTGGCCATCGCTGCCATGGCTTCGGAAATCTGCGGATTTCCGAGCTGCATGTACCGTCTTTAGACAAAATTGCTCCCTAGTATTTAAAACTGAACATTTCTTCCAATGAATTCTCATTCATGGTGATGTTGACGCAAGTATTACTGATTATGCTGTTCACCATTACTTTAGATTTCTTGGAGCTGACCTCCATTCCATATGCTCCTGATCGTTCTAAACGTTTGTTAGTCAAATCCAGGAGCTCACTGTTACTACCTGTTATGGCGTCAATGTCATCTGCCAAACGTAAGCTACAGACGGGTCTGCCACCGATAAACATTGAAGTGTCATGGTCGTTCGAGGTTTCTTGCATGTTTATCTCAACGAACAATGCCGGTGAAAGGGCGCATCCCTGTCTCATGCCTATAGTTGTCCGGAAGAATCCTTCCAATTGCTTTACAGAAGAACTGCGCCGGTGGCATCATTCTGGATGACTTGGATAATTCCGTTATCTACATTAAATTCTCTAAGACCTTTCATGCCACGATCAAATCCTTGCTTGAATTCAACAAAGTTGTGCAACACGTTCTTTTGATATTTGTAGACATTTACCTCCGTGGAAATAAACTTGGAAAAGTTATGAACACCTCTGTCGATTAAATATTAAAACTTTTATCTCGAAAAATCATTCCTTTGTTAATGTAAAAAAAAAAATAGGGCCATTCTTACATTCTAACATACGTTTCAGCTTTAAATAACAAATAAAGGGATGATAAATAGATGCTGACAACTTGGTATCTATACTGATGACACAACCATTTAATACTGTCAAGACACTAAGTCTGATCAGTTCGATAAGATCAAATTGGCGAATGATGTAAAAAAAAAAGACCTACACTCTGTTGTTAACTGGAGCAAAGAATGGCTTGTTAATTTAAACGCCTTCAAAGCAAAACTGCTCTCTATTAATCATCTGAGAGATTGCTTTCTGGCTTCTATCAGCATGGCTGATGCTAACCCCCAAGGAGATTGACTATCTGTGTCTTCGGCTAACATGAAGTGGAAAGAGTATATTGAATCCATTTCTAGGAAAGAGCTGGTTCTCTGTGAGGTGCTAAACATTTTTTCTCTTCGGAATCTATCTTGCATATCTATAATTCTACCATTCGTCCATGCTTAGAATATTTCTGCTTTCATATGGTCCTGTGCGCCTGCTATATATTTAGAGAGACTTGATAAAATCAAAATGAGAATCAGCAATATTATTGGTCTTCAGCGTCTCGGCTTCAGTCAATTTCACACGACCTTAAATATGTTTCCCTGTGCCTTTTCTGTAAATACTTTCATGGTAATTGTTTGGATGAGCATCGTTTCGCTACTGTCCCTAGACTTTATGAATTTAAATGCAGTACTACATTGGCAGATAGGTCTCATCAATTGACAGCTGAATGTAACCGTAAGTTCTATCTTTATAGTTTATTTTCGTGCAATTCTCGCTTAGGGAATTGTTTTCCGGCTCCATGCTTTCCAGCCAACATTGATCTTCCAAAATTTAAATGCAATGTCAATCGTTATCTCCTGTCTTCCTGATTGCTATTCTGTTGTCATCGCTCCTTAGTAACGTTTCTGTTTTCTAAGGCTTTCACACGCATTTAACCGTTTGTATCTTAGTGGCTCTACTTCCATGCATGGGGTGAAATGATACAAATAAAAAAACTGTTACTAATCAGGAATGATGTTTCAATTACAATTAGTTACGCCAATTAAAGGTAGGCTGTCTCTAATTATTTTTCTTTAGTTCTTTCTCCTTAGTAGTGTTTCTGCTTTCAAATTCTTCCACACCCTGTAAACCTTTGTGTCTTAGTGGCTTTAATGCCTTGTATGGGGTGAAATGATACAAATAAAAAAAATTTCTTTAGTTCTTTCTCCTTAGTAATGTTTCTGCTTTCTAATTCTTCCCCACCCTGTAAACCTTTGTGTCTTAGTGACTTTACTGCCTTGTATGGGGTGAAATGATACATATAAAAATTTTCTTTAGTTCTTTGTCCTTAGTAATGTTTCTGCTTTCAAATTCTTCAAAAAAAAAACTTGAAGCAAGAGAAAATGTGGTTTTACAGAAGGAAATCCTTAGTAATGTTTCTGCTTTCAAAATCTTCCAGACCCGGTAAACGTTTGTGTCTTAGTGGCTTTACTGCCTTGTATGGGGTGAAATGATACAAATAAAAATTTTCTTTAGTTCTTTGTCCTTAGTAATGTTTCTGCTTTCAAATTCTTCCACACCCTGTACATCTTTGTGTCTTAGTGACTTTACTGCCTTTTATGGGGTGAAATGATACATATAAATATTTTCTTTACTTCTTTCTCCTTAGTAATCTTTCTGATTTCTAATTCTTCCACATCCTGTAAATCTTTGTGTCTTAGTGGCTTTACTGCCATGCATGGGGTGAATTTTATTTTTTTAAAATCAATCAGCCTCGGATAACAGCTTCCAAACTTGCGTTTTATTGGGGTCAATTCTTATTTTTCAGTATTATTTTTCCTATTTCTAATTTCATTTTTTATTGCCTTTTTTTTTTTTATTCTTTTAATCTGTCCGTGTGTCTAATATGCTAATTATTTATCTACAGAGATAAGAGTGTCAAGATAAATCTTTCCTTGAAGAGGCCATCCCTAAGGCGAGTTTCTACCAAAGGAAGCCCACCCCGACTCCGCTTTCAGCTTAAAATATCCCTAGGCGCCTCCTGTAGAGAAGCGGTTGTCCAAATTTTTTTTCTATTTTTAATTTCATATTTTTCTTTTCTTTTTTTCTTTTTTATTTTTTTTTATTCCTTTTCTTCATCGATTACTTATTCTGTCTGTGTGTCTTATATGTTAATTATTTATCTACAGAGATAAATGTTATCATAGCTGCCTATAATTTTTCATGTCCATGGGCTTAATGTCCATGTGGCCGCCGCCATAGACCAGTAGATAGCCAACTCGTCTTGCAAAAGAAGGCCACCGATATCCTTCCACGAAGAGGGTCATTCCTGACGCAATCTTCTACCAAGGACACCCTTGCCCCCGACACGCTTTTATATTTTAATATCCATGGAGGCCCGCTTTAGAGAAGCGTATAGCCAACTTTTCTAGTAACAGAATTGCAAGCGATTTCCTTCCCATGCGAGGATCGAAACTAACGGGAACCCTCACCACACATACTACCCCTCCTCCCAAACCCGATTCCTGCGGTTAAAACAGCCATAGGCGGCTGCTGCAGAGCTGCAAATAACCAATTTCTTCTTTGTTTATGTGCCGTGTCCATTCAGGACGTTGGCGATCATGACGCCACAATTAACTATCTTTTGTAGCTTTGCTATCTCTCCGAATCCCAGCTCCGCTAACCACTCACTCAGGTTCGCCAAGAATGCTGTGCGCTGTTTTCCTCTGTCCCTCTTGCCTTCAGTCTGTCATATGAGTATCAAATTTTCCAACCCTTCTTTTCTCATTATACACCCCAGCAATTTCAACTCTCACCTCCTGGTGTTACGTATAAGTGTTCGTTTTGTTTCCCTTGCCTCGAGAACTTCCGCGATACTCAAATATTCGATCCAGGGCATTCTCAGCATCCTTCTGTAAAACCACATTTCTCTTGCTTCAAGTATCTTCTTCAATTGTGAGGAGATTGTCCAGCATTCATTAACATATAGGTGGACTCGCATTACATAACAGACCAGTACTCTTTTTTGTTTCTGTTGCTTCAAGTCTCTTCTTCATCTGTGAGGAGATTGTCCAGCATTCACTGTCATATAGGAGGACTGATATTACGTAACAGTTCAGTATTATTTTCTTTGTTTCTGTTGCTTCAAGTCGCTTCATCTGTGAGGAGATTGTCCAGCATTCACTGACATATAGGAGGACTGATATTACGCAACAGTTCAGCACACTTTCCTTTTTTTCCTTTGCTTCAAGTCTTTTTTTCATCTCTGAGGAGATTGTCTAGCATTCACTGCCATATAGGAGGACTGATAATACGTAAAATTTCAGTACTCTTCTTTTTTTTTTCTAACGAAATTTTTCTGTTTCTTAATACTTAACTTAGCTTTTTGAAGTTATCTTTCCTTATCCCAAAACGCTTTCGAAGTTCAGTCTCACACTTCCCATCCTCTGTTAAAACGCTTCCATGAAATTTACATTTTTGTACTTCGGTATCTCCAATGTATAATTTGCATGCTGATCAGTTTTGTTTGATAACAATCTTGCATTCAATCTTCTTGCAATTGATGTTTAGTCATTTCTTCTCGCCTCGCTGTATAGATTGAATAGGTCTGAGGTCTGGTGAGACGTCACATTCTTGTCTTAGACACCTTCCTATTTTTGCATATTTACTGAACTCATTTTCTATCCGTATTCAGGCGGTTTGCCGCCAGTATGGGTTTCCAGATTATTATATCCTTCCCAAATATGCCAAGGTTGCCAAGCAGTTCCAACAGTTCATTGTGATGTAATTTATCAAACGCTTTGGCATAATCTATTCCCTATCTACAACGTGTGAAAGTACATGCGATTTCCTGCCATCGTCAGCCGCCAACCAAGGGAGTTAACACAGTTTCTGTGGCTAAGGCGCTACTGGCACCCCTGGCGCCACCAGTATATTTTGCCAACGGACAGAGTATTGTTTTTTTTGTTTTTTTTAATATATATATATGTGTCAGTCTCTTGTGATTTCTTCTTAGAACTGCAACTGAAATTTTCATCGTTCATTTTAAATACACAATGACATAGAATCGGTACGTAGACAATCATGTTTCACGTCGGATGTAGCATTGTGCTGCCAGCAAAGGTTTTATTTAACTTTATTCATTTTGGATTTTGACCAGATCCAACTCGATACCTGTTGATCTGTGGTCTGGTGATGATGAGATGCACGCTTCAGGCTCCGACCAGTGATGCCCATCTTCAAAAAGAAATAAACGATTGACCACCCAAACTATCCACGGCACTCGACCTCAATAGGCAGCACATGACATACCTTTTCCACGTCCACCTCCTGCACCGTCATTGCGCTTTCTGGTATAAATCTGAACATGAATATTGCATTTCTTGTTTTAGCAAATTTAACGAACCCATACTATGCTTGTCCTATATCCTGTCTGATTCTACTGCGCTCCCTATTCATTGATAGATCATCAAAAACATTGGTAGAGCTTTCCTTCTACAGAGAAGACTGTTACCCTCTACCAGGAATAGTCCTCATCCATCGTCGGTTAAAATCCACAGGGACACATACTGTAGAATAGCTGATAGTCGACAATTCTCAGGATATGATATTCGGGACTTACTTTCTCAATGCGGGTCGTCACCAACGTGAATTTATACCCATCTTCCCTCTTCGGTAAAATAAAAATATACCCAAGCACGCCAGGTGTTAAGCAGACGATAGCTAGCTAGACTCATAAAACAGTCCTAGAATTGTTTCCTTTCTCAACGACTGGCGAAACGAACGTGAGCCTCTAGCAGAAGCAATCTCCCTTCCTCTTCGGTGAAAATATCCCTGAGCACGTATTGTATAGACGTTAATAAAAAAAATGAATTAACCTTGCTTACCATTGATAGTGTTTCGTCTGATTGAGACAAGACATCACCAGCTCTTTCCAGATTAAATTATTTTAACAGTGTCTTGTTTGTGCGCAAAATAACGCTGTCTGAACGATAGCAAAAACATTGAACTCCCCCCACCTAAAAAAAAAAAAAAGAAATTATTTAGTCATTACGAGCATTCTTGTAGACAATTCCCTCGAGTTCAATACTCTCTGAATCTTTTATTACATATACTGTATACTGGATAAATCTTAATACGATAAATATTTTTCAAGGGAGTAAAAAAGACAACTTCTTTTTACGCCATCAATAAACATAATTCAATAGTTCAAATTTTTACGCTATTCAGCGTTGTCTAATAATTAACATGTTTAGAAAGAAACAGTTCCAAGTTTTAAATATTCCCTGCCCCCAGTTTTGAACAATTACGCATGCGCAAATAATTTTGCTGCCTGTGCAGTGTTCGCCATTTTCTTCAATTAAAGAAAAAAATTCTTTGTTCATTTTAAAGTCTGCGTTTTTCAATTGACAAAAAATAAAAAAAAGATGATTCGGAATTGTGTTTGAAAAGAAAAGTACCAGATCAAGAAAAGAAACGTGGTTACTGATTAGCTAAACAGGAAAGAGTAAAACAAATAGAAAAAAAAAACAAAAACTGGAAATGAAGGCTAGAAGGAGATGAAAAATGAAACAGAAAAAAAATGTTTGTAACATAAATGGATGAATTAAATATGGGAGCGAATTGACAAACAAAGATGACGTTTCTGGAAAAATGAAAAAGAAAGAAAGAAAGAAAGAAAGAAAGAAAGAAAGAAAGAAAGAAAGAAAAGGAAGAAAGAAAGAAAATAAAGAAAGAAAGAACAGAAAGAAAGACAGAAAAGAAAGAAAGAAAGAAAGAAAGAAAGAAAGAAAGAAAGAAAGAAAAAAGAAAGAAAAGAAAGAAAGAAGGAAAGAAAAGGAAGAAAGAAAGAAAAGAAAGAAAGACAGAAAAGAAAGAAAGAAAGAAAGAAAGAAAGAAAAAAGAAAGAAAAGAAAGAAAGAAGGAAAGAAAAGGTAGAAAGAAAGAAAAGAAAGAAAGACAGAAAGAAAGAAAAGAAAAACAGAAAAGAAAGAAAGAAAGAAGGAAAGAAAAGGAAGAAAGAAACACAGAAAGAAACAAAGAAAATAAAGAAAGAAAGAACAGAAAGAAAGAAAGAAAGACAGAAAGAAAGAAAGAAAGAAAGACAGAAAGAAAGACAGAAAAGAAAGAAAGAAAGAAAAGAAAGACAGAAAAGAAAGAAAAGACAGAAAGAAGAAAAAAAGAAAGAAAGAAAGAAAGAAAGAAAGAAAAGATATCAAGGAAATATGAAATTCCTTTTGTAGAAATAAATAAACAAACAAACAAAGGGAGAAAAAATTAAAGAAAACTTTCGAAAAAAAGAATAGACATGAAAGAAAAGCGGAAGTCTATAGGAATGAAGAAGGAAAGGAAAGACAAAAAGAATAAAAAACGAAAGAAAAAAATTAAAACGAAAGCTAATAATGGAAACGAAAGAACAAAAAAAAAACGAAACGAAACTAAACTGAAAGAATTAGTTTGAAATTTGTAGAAATGAAAAGACTATAAATAAATTATAAGAAAACATATTGAGGAAAAAGATGTCTGTAGCCAAAAGATATTATAAAGCGTAAAATTATTTCTTATAATTTAAAAAAATTGAATTTACTAATATGTATATATATATATATATATATATATATATATATATATATATATATATATATATATATATATATATATATATATATATATATATATATATATATATATATATATATATATATATTTATATATATATATATATATATATATATATATATATGGATAAAGAAATTTCAAAAAAAAAACATTTACATTCGTATTCATCATAATTAAAAAAGAAGCTCCATTTTCTTTTTTATTCTTATTCTTCTTGTAATTATGCGATTTTAATAAACGATTTTATCATACGCATAGCAACAGAATGAATAAACATAGCAGAAAAAAAAACCGTGAACAAGATGAATTTGTATTAACGGCTTCGAAATCTGTCGTATGTTTTATATTAGGATCTTATAAAACGTCACAAAAGTGGGAGAGGGAATTTATTTATTTACTTTTTTTTTTTAATCAAAATAGTCAGGCAAAATGCGGAGCGAAAAATAAAAGGGTGAAGACCTGTGAAGAATTTTGATTAGCACCAGATGAACCGTTATCAGAGCGCATGCGTACGTTACACAAAAGCAAATCCTCCCTCGCCATCATCAATTATTTCCCTTTACTTCTTTTGTCCTTTATTTTTTAATTCTTTATTATTATTTTTACTATTTTACTTTCACTTTCACTTGTGTCTCTTTTGTGATTTTTCTTCAATTTTTAATCAGTTCCGACGAGCGATGCTTTCTTTCCTGCGTACGTCTGTTCGCCAGAGCCTATTTGCATTTCTCATTATCTAGTCAAATCGGAGACATGATCTCAAGGAATTTCGTTCGATAGACGTTAAATTTTGAGTTCGATCCTCACATGTATTTCGTTATCGCATTATACTGTTCTCGTTTAAGTATTTTATATATATATATATATATATATATATATATATATATATATATATATATTCCATTATTTCGTGTACACTTTAAAAGTATAAATTAAAATTTATAAAACTGTATAAATTAAAACACACACAAACACACACACATTTATAATATATATATATATATATATATATATATATATATATATATATATATATATATATGTATGTATAAGTGCGTAGGTATGCAGAAAATAGAAAAGAACACGTTGGGTGCATAATCCGGAGTTCCTGAGTATTTTTGTTTTTTAACGAATTCGAAAATGACCGGGCCTAAAAGTACACGTAAACCGACAAAGAGCTTATTCCTAAAATTTCGCTTGAAGATGAAACGGACTAAACACCACAATCCAACTTAATTTTAATAATTATTTGATATTTCGGCTCTCGTTTTTGAAACATGAGAACTCTTATGTAGAGAAGGAATCATATTTTTAAACAAAAATATTATTATAATATATATATATATATATATATATATATATATATATATAAAATATGTCGTGCAGTTCAATTTATATTACAATGAATCATTGATACAAAACGTAGATAGCAAAGTTAATGATATAAAATGGCGAATTCCCTTCGCAAACAAAATTTTAAAGGTGCATTAACCTACAAATCACTCGATGAATGTTATGATCCTTGTTTTTAAATATTATAAACTGTGTAAAGTCTTTCGCAATTAATTTCAACTGTACATTCAGTCATGGAAATTATTCTGTTTTTGGTAAAATTCAAATTGCCATAATAGTAAAAAAAAACACACTGTCTTAAATTTTCAAAAAAAATTCAACCTTAGCATTTTCTTATATATATATATATATATATATATATATATATATAACAGAACCCGGATATAAGAGAGGAGAAGACCGGAAAGAAGGGTCTCTTATATCCGGGTTTGGTCTTTTATATCATTAACACAGGTTCTAATTTGGGACCAGAGAAATTACTCTGTATATATATATTTATATATATATATATATATATATATATATGTGTGTGTGTGTGTATACTAGTCGAATATACATAGATACATAGACAAAGAGAGAGAGAGAGAGAGAGAAAGAGACAGAGAAAGAGAGAAAGAGAGAGATAGATAATGAAAGAGAGAGTGGTTTTTATGAACAGATAATAGATTGATAGTTATGAATAGAGTGTAGATAAATACATAAATAGGAAGACACTGAGATAGATACGAACAGAGTGAGATAGATAGATAGATAGATAGATAGATAGATAGATAGATAGATAGATAGATAGATAGATAGATAGAAACATCATACATACGAACAGACTGAGATAGATAGATAGATAGAAATGATAGATAGATAGATAGATTGATAATGCAGTAACCATATTGTAATGCAGTAACCATTGATTGGGGATTTCTTGCCCATTTTGACGTCCATATTTTCTTATTTTCTGACTTCTTCTATATTTTGAATAGGAGTCATTATCTTGTTCAAATTTAAATTTCATTTAAATCAAAGGAAAAACATTCAGTAGTGCCTTTGTGTCCTCTTCGGGAACCCTTTTGATCAAAATGTAATATCCTGAATCTAAGTACCCTAGGTAATGTAGTTTCAAAATATATATGGTTATTGTGGTCCATCTTTAAAAGCTTAGGAGGGGTTCGATAAATTTTCAGACAGACAGAAGCTAAAACTTTACAGTATATATATATATATATATATATATATATATATATATATATATATATATATCCAGGTATACCATGAGAACAAATGCAGTACAATTCCCCTGTCTGTAGCATTTAACTTTTGAAATAGGACTGAATACAGAGGAGAACTTATTATTATTATTATTTATCATATGAGGTTAAAACGAAAACAAAAATCGCTACACAATAGCATTCGCGTTTCACCACTCAAATTGTGCCTCCTCAGGCGATAGTAAATAACTGGCGAGTAAAAACTTATATTTAAATTTCAAAAGCAGATAACAATAAAACAAAATTAAAATGAGGCTTGTGGGCTTACCATGATAAACCAATTTGCTGTCAGACCTAGGCTAAATTAAAATAAAATAATTTTGATCATGGTAAAATGTGGTTTGAAATATAATCCTAGACAAGGTGATGATTGCATATTCCAAACAACAACAATGGCTTATATATATACGGTATATATATATAAAAATAGATATATATATATAAAATATATATGTATATTCAAAACATTAAACTAAAAAATAGAGGTTACAAAATGCAAACATTAACTATAGAGCCAAAAGAAAAAAAAAAAAAAGGAAAAGGAAAATCATTTGGTATACCCTCCGTTCAACCAAATGGTTAGTATTAAAATAGGACAAAATTATTAGCTCTAATTGATAAACACTTCCCCCACCAATAGTAAGTTTAGTAATATATTCAATAAGAACAACCTAAAATTGAGTTATAGCTGCTCTGAAAATCTTGAACGTATAATAAAAAAACACAATAATAAGATCTTGAACAAACCCCCATGCCTAAACAGTATTAATAAAAACCCTGCACTTAAATCAGACAATAAAAGGGAAAAATTATGTAACTGTAGAAACCTAGAAGACTGCCCATTAGAAAATAAATGCTGCATTAAATCAGTGGTATACCAATGTACTATATCATCCACTGAGAGCCCTAGCACTAATAAGATATACATTGGGTCCACGAAGAATGATTTTAAAGATAGATGGAGGCAGCATAAGTGTTCTTTCAATAATATACATAAAAGAAATCAGACTTAGTATGAACAAAGCCACAATGTGCTAACCGTATTCGGAAATTAAAAACATCCCCACCACACACTAATACATACACAGAACGCACACACTCAATCAAGCTGATAATCGAATCATCCTTGATAATGCCTAAAGGTATAGCCGAAAGCGCTCGGAAATATAAAACATTCGGACAGTTCTTACACACTCTTTGTCGAGAAAAGAAAGCTCTTGTTCGAACACAAGAAAAATTAAATAAAAAGCTTAACCGTAGTACCTTGTCTGTTGTTTTTAATGAAACATGCATAATATATATATATATATATATATATATATGTATGTAGAGAGAGAGAGAGAGATAGATAGATAGATAGATAGATAGATAGATAGATAGATAGATAGATATACTGAATTTACTGCATTTTTTCGTTCTCTCTCATCTTCTCTTTTCTTGTATACATAAGGTTAGTAATGCAATGCAGACGGAAAATGTCCACATATACATCGGCAGTATGAATTGGCTGGATTTTAAGTTTAGATCAGATCGTTTTTTATTGTGCGTAATGTCGCCACAAATGTATCCACACGTTTCCGGTGTCTGTTTTTTAAATTTTAATTTTAGGTCACCGAATCTGTAGCGATTTCTGCATCTGAAAATAATTCCTATTTATCTGTATCTCACTCATTTAAACCGTTATTTAACTCCTCTCTTTAAAACTTCTCTCTGTTAAATTTTAATCCCCACCTTCACCTTTAGCCCTTCCTGTTCTTCTTTCTTCTATTACACCCTCTCTCTAGAGCTTTCATACATTTCCTTCTCACACTTGTTTCCCACTCCCACACATACACTCTTACTAATATTTTTTTTTATATACCCGGAGTTATATTTTCCGATTTCTCTTTGAATTTGTAGGTTTGATGAATTGGATCGTGATTACGATTCCAATGTAAGAAATAATAACCATGGACTATTAGCGTTTGAGCCTTTTTTATTATATATATATATATATATATATATATATATATATATATAAATGAAAAACAGACCACTTTAAGGCTCCATTTTAATAGTTTATTTCACCAGAGACCTTTTAAAAGATGCTGGATCCTCAGACATCACTTCCAAAAAGTTTAAATTACATAAACTTAATACTACCGGTTAAAAGTGTAAATTTTCATTTCATTTTTTGTTTCAACTTTTTGGGAGTGATGTCTGAGGATCCAGGGTACTTTAAAAGGTCTCTGGTGAAATAAATTATTACAATGGAGTCTTAAAATGATCTGTTTTTCTTTAAATTATTAGCTCTGAATTTACATTAAGCTCTCAGGATTTCATCCTCCATACGGATTACCAAGTTTTTCGTAACTTATATATATATATATATATATATATAGATAGATAGATAGATAGATAGATAGATAGATAGAGAGAGAGAGAGATCTTTTCACTATATACAACGCAGATAATGTAACATTCCTATACCTTAAACTAAAGAAATAAGAATCCTAAAGGAAAAAATAAAAAATAATGAAAATTTAATACATAATTAAAATAAACAAAAAATCTAAATAAATAAACAAATTAAGTAAATAATAAACAAATACCCTTACCCATAATGCACCATTGACTAGTATAAATAGTTGCGCAAAAGCACAATACACATAAAGTAAAGGTTGCGTCGAGGCATGAAACAGACGGTTCACATCATTTACACACAATTATTAAGCTACATGACCCGGCAGCCAACAAGGAATTCAGCATGAAAACATTCAGAGCAAACATTGTTTTCGCCACAGTCCCTCGTCAGTGTTTTTTTTATGAAACCTGTATAAAAGAGAGATGGCTGCCCAAATACGCAATTATCAAATTACATGACACAGCAGCCAACAAGGAAAGTTCACACATCTA